GCGTACATTTTACCCAGAAATACAAAAGTCGATCGAGTATGCCTAAAATATATATTTTCTTCCCACTGATTCTGTGAAAACATTCAACACCAACCTTCGTAGAATTTGAACAATTAATTGAATTGTTCGAACTCTGTTCAATTAAATGTACTGACGTATTAAGAAAATGAGTAAGGATCATGTGCTCTTCATGTATTAAATTAAGGTACAGGTAAGGTTTAAGGTCGTCGAGGCCTAAAGGATAAGACGTCCGGTGCATTCGTGTGTAGCGATGCACCGGTGTTCGAATCCCGCAGGAGAGTATCAATTTTTCTAATGAAATACGTACACAACAAATGTTCACGATTGACTTCCACGGTGAAGGAATAACATCGTGTAATAAAAATCAAACCCGCAAAATTATAATTTGCGTAATCACTGGTGGTAGGACCTCTTGTGAGTCCGCGCGGGTAGGTACCACCGTCCTGTCTATTTCTGCCGTGATGCAGTAATGCGTTTCGGTTTGAAAGGTAGGGCAGGCGCTTTAACTATACTGAGACCTTAGAACTTATATCTCGAGGTGGGTAGCACATTTACGTTGTAGCGGTCTATGGGCTCCAGTAACCACTTAACACCAGGTGGGCTGTGAGCTCGTCCACCCATCAAAGCAATAAAAAAAAAAAAAAAGTACTCTGTATATCGCCCGGTAATGGTGGTAAAAAGTCATCGCTTTCTCCAACATTATGCAGCTTCAGAATTTTATTTGTATTTTGACGTGACATCGTCTTATAATTTGATGGGGCCGGCTGCACGCACGAAAAAACATGACTCATTGAGGCGTTCCATTTAAGGCTTGAAGTGCAAGCGAGAGCGCGCAACGAGCGACAAAGAGGCCCAATCGGCCTCCGCGTTCGGCAGCGTGCAACATCTATCTCTCTCCTACTTGAGTGAGCGATGCATCCGCGTGGACAGCTGCTATACAATAATACATTTACATGTTTTCGTCAAGTATGAAGTTCAGGGTAAAGTGAATGTGGTGTCAATTGTTGATAACAACGATAATTGCGATAATTAAAAAATGAAACCATTCCATCAGTATTTTCTTATGACGTTGTCACGTTCAACTACCGTCAGTAAACTGACTTTACAGACAATCGATTTTTTTTTAATCATACTTTCGTGCGTCTAGTCGTAAAATAAATCCTTAATTATGACACTAAAATATGTCAGTTTAATGCCCGTTTAATGAGGATTGCACATGAAATGTCATTAATTTAGTTGTCATTAATCATCGCGATAATATACATTAAAAAATTTTCATTAATTAATTCGTATAGATCAGCAACCGACTCAGATGCCATAATATCATTAACAAAATACATTGCTGACTGGCCGTCAACGCTGAGCACTCGTGAACACACCTCACGTTAAAAAATACATAAAGAAAACACGTTAAACTAAATTAATATTTGTTTTTCCGTTAAAGACGGGAAAAGCGGGCTTGCCTGGTTTCATGTGATTACCATAGCCCATATAAATCACAATCTGTCGACACTTACATTAAAAATGTAAAATGGAAGTCATAATTCTACTACGTAATATCTGCATCACCTATGAAGCCAGAACACGTGAATGTTTTCCCAAAAAAGAGCAGCATATGGCCTCACAGTACACTCTACCAACCACAGAATCCAAACCCCAAAATTGCAGCCACGCTCGATAAGACTAACATGCATTTCACTAATTAACTAAGTACTATACTGAGACCTCAGATTTCATGTCTCAAGGTAGGTAGCGGCATTTACGTTGTAGATACCTATGGCTCCGGTAACCACTTAACATCAGGTGGACCGTGAGCTTGTCCACCCAACTATGCACTGAAAAAACAATAAAAAAATTAAGCCACATAAATTTTTCAAACTTCTATAGTGTTATGTGATAAATATAAGTACGTACGTCTTTTTGTTCCTAAACAGCATATTAATTTTTTCGTAACTTAAAATGGTTTTTTTTTCTACAATTTCCTTTTGAATATTGTCAGTTAAGACATTATATAATTTCTTGAGATCAAAAGAGTCTTCGTTCAATGAGGAAAACTTCAATTGAATGACAAGAAAAACAATTAGTTAATTAGGTGATATTTTTTTTTGAAATTACCGCAAAAGAAATTAGAGAATTTTTAATATAACCTTAGAGTCTTTAACTAAGCTTAGTGTGTTTACATTTTATTTTATTGGAACGAAGCTCCTTATCGCGCGTTGTGAACGGGGGCTAGACGGAAAAAATTCTTACGAAAAGTTGTCACGACACTTTTTAGATCCGTCATTCTGACCAATCAACTTGTAGGCGCTTATCACGTGACATTGCTCGTATCCGATTGGTCCGCGTAATGAGTACAGTTTCTCGAGATAGCGTTTCAACAATAGTAATTTAGTTCATAGTATTGTTTTTTTCTTCTTCATAATGCCGTAATTTATTATTATAACTTAAAAAAAAAATTACAATTCCTTCACTAATTAATCGAAAGGAACTTCGTTCCATCCGGGTGTCCCTTGACACCTCTGAAGTTTTTTTACACAGTTTGTTTAGCTAGCCCCAAATATGACAAGTGACAAGATATGGCGCAACCTAAGAATCTACCATATTCGTTAATCGATTTACAATGTTTATTTTAGCTATAAAAAGTAATCTTTATTCACTATTTCTAAATGGGATTGTAAAGTTTAAAACGATTTTTGACTGCGATTATTTATCGAAATAACAATTTTAACTTTATTTTTATTTTTATTGCTTAGATGGGTGGACGAGCTCATAGCCCACCTGGTTTTAAGTGGTTACTGGAGCCCATATACATCTACAACGTAAATGCGCCACCCACCTCGAGATATAAGTTCTAAGGTCTCAGTATAGTTACAACGGCTACCCCACCCTTCGAACCGAAACGCATTACTGCTTCACGGCGGAAATAGGCGGGGCGGTGGTACCTACCCGTGCGGACTCACAAGAGGTCCTACCACCAGTGATTACGCAAATTATAATTTTGCGGGTTTGGTTTTTATTACACGATGTTATTCCTTCATCGTGGAAGTCAATCGTGAACATTTGTTGAGTACGTATTTCATTAGAAAAGCTTCTGTAATTTCTGAACATTTTTCTTTCGTAGACGAGGTCAGAGGTTCAACCCGAGATAATTTTCTAACACTAGCCCTAGCAAGAACAGTGCCGCTGCAAAGTCTACCACCCGATCAGAATCTCATTGAGAATATCCGGCCAGAAACGCAGTGAGTGGGTTGTGTTTATGAGTTAATTCGATCATCGAAATCTTCATCGCAATTGACGTTTCTGATGAAGACAGTGACCGTGAGTGAAGGGATCGGACAAGACTAGCTTCGCACGATGATGATATTACGTTGCCTCGTCCTTTGAGTCGCATATGTAATAAGCAGCGGTAACATTACATCATCATCATCATCATCATCAACAGCCCACAGTCGTCCACTGCTGGACATAGGCCTCTCCCAATCTACACCACTGAGCCCGGTCTGCTGCTCTCCTCATCCACTTCTTGCCGGCCACCGTGCGGAGGTCATCGCACCATCTAGCCAGATGCTATTATCACTATATATAATTATATATATAGTATCACTAACATTACATAGATAGAACGCTTTTAAAATACTCCTTACAATACTAAAGCATAGCAACACACAATTTTTTAGCCTGGACTTCTAGAAAATGCGATCGATTTAACGTAAAAATAACACTTATCCGAAGTGAACATCATAATTTATTTTATAACGATAGGGAAAAAGAACCATTGAAATCAGCTAACACGAGATCAATCATTAAAGTAAGCGTAAGTTTAAGTGATTTAAGTAAACGGTTTTAAACGGTCCTCATTCAACGGATTATGCGAGGTAAAAATTATTTCCAAAACCACATACGAGAAAAACTAGAAAATATACAATGTGAACTAAACATTCACCAATCAGCAAAACGACCAATTGAATAAGATCTATTTTAATACGGAAGGCAATATAATGAAAATGATTGTAATTTTATAATGATATCAGATTTTATTTGCTCGGTTGAAAACATGTCCATGGTATATGTTTGACAGGGCGTGTGAGTATGCCATGGTTTAAATACAAAGGATACTAATACATTGATTAAGAAGCTACATTTATTGAAATTTTAACGAAATCAATTAAAAACAAATTAAAGGACTTCAAATGTCAAATACATCAACTAAACTATACAATGGGATCACCTTGAGAGCGCATCTTTATTAAAAAAATAATTTTCAAAATGGAGCTACAATTTCAGTTGGTATTGGTGAACAAACATAAAAAATATACGTACAATTGAACACAGAACCTCCATTGTTTGTAAAGACGCTGAGTAAAATCCATCTTTCCTTTTTTCCTACACCCAATAATTAAAAAAAATTCCTGCACTTATCTCTCTGAAGACCAGATTTAGATTACCATTTAAATCATAAGTATGTCAATTTCAATCCTGTTTTATTTGACTACATATTGCAACCGTCCAACGGGTTGACGTACCGATTTTATCCATTAAATTGTTATAACAAGTTTACAGCTCAAATAATTGTACTAGAGCCGGTATGATAAAAGATGGTTGAAATAGGGAAATTCTTCGTATAGTATCTAGGTAATCGAAAATTCGGTTGAGCTTTTTATTGTTGTCAGTTTATGCTTAATTTATTATATCTTATTTATTTTCGATGATAAAAATACTTTTAATCTTATATAATCTCGGTTATTCTGCTAGTATTATCCACAAAATTTGGAGACATTACAATTTTTTCAGATACAGACGAATAAACGGCGTAAAAATATATATTTTTTTTAACATTTATTCATTGATTTCATTTTCACATTAAATTAGATTTGCTAGAAAACTGTTTAAGTTATAAGTAACGGAAATACAATTATGTACTATTAACAAATAATTTTATCAAGAACATTTTAGAAAAGTAAATTTCTAAAGATACTTACAAAACCCGTATTCTATATGCTAAACGACACACAATCACATCACGACTACACTCTCGTAAATGATGATACACAAACGCGTCTAGTCCGTCAGACAGACCGGGGCAGACTGGCGTCCGTATCGCCCCCGGACTCGAGCACACATTCCCGCACACTCCACCGATACAGCCTCATTTAATAATGTTTTAAATGTTATACTACATAATTTCTTTTTAATACTATTGGGAACATTGACGAGGAGCAAGAGCGAAATCTAATTAAAAGTATATTTATAAGCGCTGTTTTATACAGAGTTCGGCTCCTAACAAAATGCTTTGGGTTGATTAGATAAATTATATATGCTGGATATATGAACTCAGTCTATCTGGGAATAAGGTGACGAGACCTAGGTCAGCGAGTTTGACTTGCAAACTAGTCAGCAAGCTTTGGAGTGGCGCCTTTCAACGGAAACAAACCGAAAAAACCACGCCAAAGTCAATCAAAAGTCAAAGTCATGTTGATTGTTTTCTTTGACTGTCGCGGTGTTATGCCCTTGGGATTCTTGCCGAAAAGTCAAACGGTAAATAAAGAAAATTATGCGGCGTTTAAGAGAGGAAATTCGACGCAGAAAGCCAGATTTGTTGAAATTAAATTCTTGGATTTTATCCCACGATAATGCGGTAGGCAGCGGCTTTGCTGAAGTCCATGGGCGACGGTAACCACTCACCATCAGGTAGGCCGTATGCTCGTCTGCCTACAAGGGCAATAAAAATAAAAAAAAGTGTCTTCGCACCAAGCTGTAATTGCGAACGAAATTCTGCACTAAAAATCAACACATACCATCAAGCAACCTTGTTCACCACATATGACTCCAGCTGGCTTCTTTCTTTTTTCTAATTTCGAATTACGACTTCGCGACACTTGGTAGAAGACATAAGGGCGAGAACTAAACTAAATTCTAGAAAAAGCGTTTAAAAAATGTTTAGTTTTTCCTGGTACTTTCTTAACAAAGTAGTATGTGTGAAAAGGCAAATAGAAAAGATTTCAGTACCATTTTCTCCTCCGTTTATCAATTAATATTTCCCCAGATTTGCTTCAATGCGTATGTGCGTCTAGTGTCTATGATATTAGTACAATTCCAATTACTCGATGACGACTACTACAAAAATAAAATAATCAACATTTTAAATAACTTCAAGACTTACAAACTAGAATCAATACTTGATCTTATAAATTCTAGCTTTATGTTTCCAAGAGCTTTCTGTTTCAAAACTGGACATCTACCAGTATTTAGACTAAGATTCGAAGTCCTTAAGTCAATATAAATTGGAGCTGGCTATTCCTGTCGAAGTCTTGAGTTGTAAACTTGACTGAACACGAACGATAATGGTCCTCATTAAGTTGGAACAAACAGAGCCCTTCGATTGTATTTTAATCAAGATCTCTAGTTGATATAGGTCCGATCAGTTTTGTGTAAGCTCCCGAACTGGATAGAGATCATTTAAAACTATACTGCGGAAACTCGATTTAAACTTATCATCGTATGTCTGCATCACGTGCTTACGGAAATAGCGTTAATATTGTCCTCTTCTTTCATTCATTGCAAATAATAAGGAAGAAAGGGAAGCATTCTGTTTAAATTAATTTCACATTGTCAATTGCTTAGACTGGTGAACTAGCTTACGGCCCGCCTGTGTTAAGTGGTTACTGGAAGCCATTGATGTCACATAATGATTGCCGCCACTCACCTTTGGAACCTCTGGGTCTGCGGAGGGACTTCGGTTCCCTCTAGACTTTGTACCGTACGTTCCATGGAGAGTGCTTTGGGCTTTGGAATGAGCTCCCCTCCACGGTTTTCCCCTATGTTCCTTTATGTATATGTCATACATATCCTTCTTCAAACGAGGCTTGTGGGGACTACTTAACGGTGGGCAGCGGCTTGGCTCTGCCCCTGGCATTGCTGAAGTCAATGAGCGACGGTAACCACTCACCATCAGGTGGGTTATATGCTCATCTACATACAAGGGGAAAAAAGACAAAAAAAAATTTGAGATATAAGATTTCTCAATTCTATAAGGAACCCATGAGCTGACCCATAATTCAAAAATACTGATATGTGCCAGTGATTACATCAACGAATACTAATCGCGCTTTTGAAGCTGCTATATTTATTTATGTGCGATCGAAAACAATCGGTACTGTCACACTGAGCTTTAGGTCTTCGCCAAACAAACCTCGGGCCAGGCAAGTCGCCGCCTATTTACATAGGATGTCGGCAAACAGTGCGCTGAAACCCACCCGGATTTGAATTACATGACCATTAACAAGGTTTCACTCGTTGAAGGGGTTTAATTACATAAAACGTTCGCTTAGCGGACGGCTCAGTGCACAAGATTACGGGGAAATTACAAAATATAGGGATGCTTAAAACGGGGCCGCTTCACTAATGGACGTTGCTAAATCTATAATGTTTAGAACGCGCCCGTGAAAACTGTGATCTAAAATGGAAACAGTAACAAGTGTACATTTTTAAGTCGCGGCTTAACTGGCATCGTTGACATCCGTTGATGGCGATGACTACCTAATGGGCGGGCCATATGATTGTCAGCCTGCAACCGCAATAAAATAAATCTCAGATGCTTCTTTTTTTTCTTAGATGGGTGGACGAGCTCACAGCCCACCTATGTTAAATGCTTACTAGAGCCCATAGACATCTACAACGTAAATGCGCCACCCACCTTGAGATATAAGTTCTAATGTCTCAGTATAGTTGCAATGGCTGCCCCAACTTTCAAACCGAAAGGCATTACTGCTTTACAGCAGAAATAGGCGGAATGGTTATACCTACCCGTGCGGACTCACAAGAGGTCCTACTACCAGTAATTACGCAAATTATAAATTTGCGGGTTTGATTTTTATTACACGATGTTATTCCTTCATCGTGAAAGTCAATCGTGAACATTTGTCAAGTACGTATTTCGTTAGAAAAATTGGTACCCGTCTGTGGGATTCGAACACCGTTGCATCGCTAGATACGAATGCACCGGACATCATCGGAATGCATTTACTGGTGGAAGGACCTCTTTTGAGTCCGCGCGGGCAGGTACCACCACCCTACCTATTTCTGCCGTGAAGCAGTAATGCGTTTCGGTTTGAAGGGCGGGGCAGCCGTTGTAACTATACTGAGACCTTAGAACTGATATCTCAAGGTGGGTGGCGCATTTACGTTGTAGATGTCTATGGGCTCCAGTAACCACTTAACATCAGGTGGGCTGTGAGCTCGTCCACCCAACTAAGCAATAAAAAAAAAGAGAGAGAGAGTATTCTTTATTGTACACCAAAAAACAAATAAACAATAAACAGTGCGATACATTAAACACAAAAAAGTACAATTGGCGTACAAAAAAAATACTTATGTAGATACTTATTAGGTATTGATGAGTGGACCAATCGTAATTAGCTATATAACTATTTAGCTCCTAAACCATGTTAATTGTTCTCATGTTATTTGTTTTTATGTAGTTTATTGATGGATTTCTTCTTTTTAAAATTTTTATTTGGTTCCTTTTTGTTCCTTTTATTTTTTGTTTTTTTTTCAATTTAATTAATTTTATAATCATTTAGTACTAGAACTAGATTCTAGCTGTGATTACCTATAATTAAGTGAGCACATGTCAGTTTTGATATTTTTGTACCCTATGTTTAAGCCAGTGTTTCATTTGATGGTGATCCATTAAATAAATAAATAAATACCATTGAGTTAGACCCAAGATTAGCCTTCGTGCTGGTTTGAGGAGAGCCCTAAACAGTAGGCATCGATATGGCTGTGGTTCTAGAACTGCTGCTGTCCATGACTGACTCGGTGGTGTAGTAGTTTTATTGCCCTTATAAGCAGACGAGCATACGACCCACCTGATCGTGAGAGCTTACCGTCGCCAATGGACCTCAGCACTGCCGGGACAAAGCTAAGCTGCCTTAGCTAAGAGCTAAGTTAGCGATCCTGACTGTTGTGCCAAAAGTCGTAGGTTCGATTCCCACATCAGGCAAACATTCGTGTGATGAATTGGTTTGCTTGCTCTTTGTCTTGATATTAATTATCTATATGTGTATTTAATTAAACGTATATAACTATGTATTTCGGTCTCTGATACCCATAACACAGAGAATTACTTACACTAATTTGGGGCCGTACGTGATTTGTACCCAGTTATTTATTATTTACTTATGAGTAACGTCAACTACTTGCCATCAAGTAGACCATATTCTCGTGTGCCTTCGAAAAGCATAAAAACGTAGAGAAATTCTACATAGGTTAATATGATCTCTTACAAAATACTTACCTTTAAACCCAGGTCCTGCAACATTGGTACAAAAATGTTGATTCCAATGTCAATTCTTCTGAGTTACAAAGTACATAGATATTGTAGACAGGAGATTAACGACACGGCAACTATAACTGCATTACCAAACGTGATTTTATCAGTTAAATTTAAATCAAGCAATGTTCATCCAATCAAAAATACATTTAAAACACCAATTAACCCCTTGCAGAAAGCAATGTAAAGTGAACTTGAGCCCGTCGGCTGTTATCCGGATTGCCCAATCAGTTCCGGTCCGGTTGGGCCCGGATTGGACGATAAAACTGAGCCAGTCGTTGTATTATCAATGTCGTTATCCCGACAGGCACCTGCGACCAACACACGGCTTAAACGCTTTACGTTTCAATCTTTTAACGTTTACAAAGTTGTCGAGAAAACTATATTCGGTGTTTTGCGCAGATGTGTTCTTCTCTTTAGATGGTATGAGATAGGCTATATTGATGTTACACATTGACAGCCGACATCGCGGCCTAGATTGGCGGGACCATGTGCCTCTTCCCGCAACCAAGGAAATCAGAAAGAAATGGACGATAACGTTCTTTCAGTATTGTACTGAAATCGCCAGCTGTAAGGTAAAGCGTGTTGTGAGATGACTCGGACAAGCAATAACATCCTGCTCATTTCTGCCGAAAAGAAATCAAGTGTTCTTGAAGAGAAGGACAGCCGAGCTACAACTGACATTTCGACCTTATCTAGCTAGGTGGGTGACAGCATTCACATCTGGGACCACTACCCT